CTGTTGGTAGATGGTTTCTAGCTGGAATTTCAGTTGAGAATTTTCTTGGATGCCTTTTTTTTCCTTTCCCTCTGTCCATTTCTTGAAAAGTACAAAAATTTTTATAAATAGTACCTAAAAATCAAGGATGCTTTATTAAAAATGAAATTATCCCTTTGGAGGGAATAGATTACCTAGGATTCAAATTTTCAACTAGAAAATGAAGATTTAAATACTAGGTTTTTCCAAATGAACAGACTAAAATAAATCCATACTTTGGAGGCATAGTGCTTTCAACAGTTAATTGTCTCATAAAGGGTATTGGATTATAACATCATGGTCTGAAAGAATTGATGGACCCAGTATAATTACAAGTCTGTAATGTTCACTTGCCATTGTGGACTTTCGTTTTTAGAAAAAAACTTTATATTGCTGTGTGTTCACTCAGCTGTTTTGAGAAAACTGACATTTAGGTTCAGACTTTCTGGTGCAATGATCTAAGTTTGGATATTTTGTTAAAAAAATGATTAACAATAAACTTTAGTTACTATAATAAATTACTTCTTCAGTCTCCTTAAGTGGAGGGTGGTACTGTTGAGTCTTACATGTTATTTACTACATTAATACTTGACTAAATCTGTTATTTAATGGTTCAGTTTTTTCTGTTCTTTGGTTTGAGGAAGAAATGCATTTAAAGTACAAAAATAAACAGGGATATTATATAGCCATGAAAAGGAATGAAGTACTTACTGTACATGCTACAGTACAGCTGAATATTGAAAACATCATAAGTGAAAGCAGCCAGGCACGAAAGGCCACATGTCACATGACCCCAGTTACTTGAAATGTCCAGAATAGGCAATCCATAGAGAGAACTGATTGCCAGGGGCAGGGGGAGGGAAATATAGGCTACCTTTGAGGCAATGGAAATATTCTGGAATTTGGTGGTGGTGATGGTTGCACAACATTGTGAATATACTTAATACTAAACTGCTGTATACTTTAAAATAGTTTAAATAGTAAATGTTATATGACTTCTCAAAAAAAAAAAGTTGGGCCATATAAATTCACTCTTATCCTTAAGAGGATAAAAAATACTTGTATTAGTCAAATGAAAAAATGACAGAATTTCTTAGGGAGGATCTATGTAATTTTATTTAATGTTTCTATTTAACCAATATTTTTCTGAAACTTTAGAACTTACCAGTAGCTATGTTTTCCCATCACAGTTATTGTAGTACACAGGATAATCCTGTGTTTATATCACTCAGAAATAAATATACCCAGTTATAGTACAGAGGGGTAAAAAAAAACCTGTCATGTAATATTTAAGTATATGATAAGCCTGTATTAGCAGCTTTATTTTAGCTGCTCCAATTCTGTCCTCTCCCCCAGCATTAGCACAGGAGGGAGGGATGTACAGCAGCAGGCTCTTCAGTTATTTTCTAGTTGCTGTCAATTATTTTAAAATGAAATAAAAACCTGGTGTTACATGGTTTCTTCCTTTAGGCTCGATTTTATTCTCCAGCCACCATATTTATTGATGAGATCGATTCCATTTGTAGTCGCAGAGGGACTTCTGAAGAGCATGAAGCAAGCAGAAGGGTGAAAGCCGAGCTGCTGGTTCAGATGGACGGTATGCATATGCATATGCATGGAGTGACAAAGCTTTGCTCACGGAGCGAACACACACAACTCCAGATGTCTACGGGGTGCTGGCCAGGAGGTCCTGGAGACTGACAGCTGTACACTTGGGTACACTGACAGTGGTGTCAATGCCAGAAATAATGGCTGTTCACAGGGTACCCTTTGGCATATAAGCTCATCTCTTATTTTTAGCCATGAAATTGAAATAAATGCAGATCAGTTGGCCTTACAGGGGGATATGTATACTTTTGAAATTTTTAAAAAATTAATCTGGAGTTGAGCTAGTCTTGTTTAAATCTACTTTGAATCTTTTTTTTTTGCATATAATAACTCTTTTCTTGGACCACAAATTCTCATAGGTACCGGTTTGTCCTATAAGTCTTAAGGAGGCTTGACAATTACGCTACCTTGTAATGTTGTGCTACATTTTTTATGATCTTTAAGTAGATGAGCTTTATTTTGTATAATACAACTTAGTATATTTTTACTTTCTCCATACCCTTTTAGGTGTTGGTGGTGCTTCTGAAAATGATGACCCTTCCAAAATGGTTATGGTTCTGGCAGCTACTAATTTTCCATGGGATATTGATGAGGCTCTAAGACGACGTCTTGAGAAAAGAATCTATATTCCATTACCATCAGGTATCTTCATGTGAATCTTGTCAGAAAGTTCATGTTAAATCTTAGGAAGTTTTGTTTAGAGATTTAAAATTTTGGTGTTAACTTTCTTTTAAGACAAATGTAGGATGTCTTTCCTTGTATTAACTATTTTGGCTATATCTAGAGCCTGAAAGCCTTGATCCTAGGAAATTTAAAATTCATTGAGGAATGGCTCTTAAATTTTTAAGCAAGTAATGACCTTTAAGAGTTGGAAAACTCACACAAAGTAGACTTGAGAAAAAATAACATATTACATTTACGTGGAAGGCTTACATATTTTAATTTGTTTCTACCATTAGCAAAAGGCAGGGAAGAGCTATTACGAATTAGTCTACGTGAACTGGAATTGGCTGATGATGTTGACCTTGCAAGTATAGCAGAAAACATGGAAGGTTACTCAGGAGCAGACATTACCAACGTGTGCAGGTATGAATTATTTTGGAAGTACAGGGTTTTTTGTGGTTCTAAACTTATGAAGTTTTTATGCCCAGTTAAGATAGGTGAAGAATAAAGACCCACATTTATAGTCTACAGTCAGACACAAGTTTTCGTATTAGTGTTAGCAGGTGCTGGAAAGATACTGATGTATCTTGCATGCCAGTGAAGAGTCTGCAGTTCATTTTGAAACTACACGTTCAAGGAGCCAATGTTAGAATAGTAGGTGTACAGTAGAAAAGTCAGTAATTGTCTTGGGTTTAAAAAATTAATTTTGGTATATTCGGTATACTGTTATGTAGGGTATAGAATTGTAAAATAAACTGACTTGGCATACCCTAGTAGAGTATAATCCCATACTCAGTGAGAATGTCCTACATGTGAGAGGAACAGCAGTGAAAAGGAAAAGGACTGCCTCCATGGCAGCTGACTCGAGTGGGTGTTGTCCTAATCCGAGTATTATATTAGCTCAGGCGCTTATTAGGAAGGTTCTTGACTGTGTTAATTTTCTCTTCTGTAAAGTAAGCATATTATGTAGGACTAGTGAGAGAGTTAATGATGACGTATATGTATATGAAGCAGCTCTATGTTGCTGTCTCTCTGCATAAATGGTGGCTGCTATTAAGGATAAAACTTGGTGAAAGGAAAGAGGTACTTGAATCTTAAGTTTTTTTTTTAAAGCACTAAATATAGTGGGGGTGGGGAGGAGAAAAGCCACCTAACTTATCAGTTTGTTTTTCTTAAAAATGTAGAAAATATGTAATTTTCTAGCTAACAGAGTTTCATTTAATCAAAATATATATTTGTTAAATTTAAAACCTAGGGATGCATCCTTGATGGCAATGAGAAGGCGTATTGAAGGTTTGACCCCAGAAGAAATCCGAAATCTTTCGAGAGAAGAAATGCACATGCCTACAACTATGGAGGATTTTGAAATGGCTTTAAAAAAGGTTTCTAAGTCAGTATCTGCTGCAGACATTGAAAGATATGAGAAATGGATATTTGAGTTTGGATCATGCTAAATTCTCACATGTAAACTGTGAGAAACCTGCCTTAAGTGTTTGAATAATAAATGTATTTCACTGCACCGAGTGCTATATTTTTTTAAACTTTAATTATGGTAAGATTTAAAAAAAAAAAACCTTATGATTCTGAATAAAGGCAATTTTTGAAAGCTGCAATTTTATACAAGTAGCCAACAGAAACATGAACCACACTTAGTTGCCTGCCTGCCTGTCTGCCTTGTGTTATTGTAGCTTCCCTCCATTTTCTGAGAGATCTTTAGTACAGCCTCTTCCACCGTCGGCGGTTGCTCTTCCTTCTAGGGACTAAGAGTGGCTCCTCGGATACTGGTGGAAAACTGAAAATTCCTGAACATTTTTATACAAGTAGCCAACAGAAACATGAACCACACTTAGTTGCCTGCCTGCCTGTCTGCCTTGTGTTATTGTAGCTTCCCTCCATTTTCTGAGAGATCTTTAAAGACCCTTCATTTTACTTTGCATTTAAAATAAAAATATATCTATATCTGTATATATCTATTTATGACACTGCCTGATTTCATTCTGCCCACATAAGAGGCTGCACTATAGGCAACTAGATACTTCTAAGCCTGTGCTGCTTACTGCACTCTAATGAAACTCACTAACCCATTCACTCAAGGATACTAACAATTAATACAGTTGATGGTGTAAAAGTTAATAAATGAAATACAAGTTAACAGTACAAAATTTTAGGTAAGATTTCCATTTTTGATTGCTTATAAAAAAAAAATAACTAATTGTATCATCCCAACCATAGAAAATAGAGCCTCCAGGAGACCGAGTGCCTTGCCATGGTCCCAAGTCTCACTGGTAAGGACAAAAGGCAGGATAGGAATCTGCTGACTGCAAAGTCTGTACACTCCAATTGACCATGCAGCCTCCTACACTGTTCTCACTAGAATCTACAAGCTTATGCTTAATGGATGAAATAAGACCCTGGAATCATTTGGACTTAGAACTGGTGGTTTCTAGCAATTTAGAGAGTGAGGAAGTACGTAACGTGTTACTAGCTGGGTGATTTTAGGATCAAACTGTAAATCATATGCTATAATTTATAATATGGAGACAGTACATTTCACAGGGCTGTTACTCCTTATTAAAAACAGCTGGGCAAAATGAGACATTACTCCTTCACTCTACTACCTTCTATCCTTCCCCCATACGTACATATCTATTTAGCCTAAAAATAAAGTGGTTTTAAAAACCAGTCATTACTTTCTTGGACAATGTTTAAGATGATGGCTTACAATCAAAAGTTTTATTAATAGAATAGAAAGTATCACATGGAGTAAAGATAAGTATTGCATGTACTAGATCACACCATAAAATACATGTCAATACGGGCAATGGTTAAAAAAAGGCCAAACACTGTTGTAGGGTAAACAGCACTAAACTTGGAACCATAAGAAACGGTACATTCTAATCTCATGATATCGATGGCCTCATTAACTGACTTGAGCCTTGGTTTCAGCCAGGGTACAAAAGGAACTATTATATAGGCGTCATTATCACCTTGGAACAGTTTTTATACCAAAGACTGTAATTTTTCCTCAAAAAAAGTTTATTTTAGAGTGAGAACATGTCACTACTATCTTGAAATCCTGGTGCATTCAAGGTATGTGGTCTTGGTACAGGACATAATCAAATCATGATACACTTCAGTGATTCATGCTGAGTCACATAAAGGCACATTTGACTGAATAAAAAAATAAGTGTTAAGTTCTTGAGCTTTTAAATTAGAATTTCATAAAGTGCTCTTCACAAAGTCTTATATATATTACAGTAATTTAGTGGATATAATTTCCTTAACAAAGGCACCTTGAAAAGTATTGGCACATGGCATTTTGTCTTGCCTTTTTTTTTCTTTTTGGTAATTTCAAAGTTTCTTCACATGTCTTCTCTTCCACTGTTTAAATTTTCCTTAACAAGTCATCATCTGAATAACAAGCCCTCTTAAGGTGAACTTTAACCAGTCATTTTAAAGGCCAAGTTTTAGGTAGCTTTAGGAGTTGAGTAATTTCTCTAGTGTAAACTGATTCTTAATGATTTAAAGAAACTTACATTCAAGTGGCAAATTTAGAGCCAATACACTAATTCAGAGTCCATGATTTGAGCTGGTGTTTCAAATACATGTTTTATCTTTAAGGCTTTCTGCTGTTTTCTTGGGACCATCTGGATAGAAGTTGATAGCTGTCACAGGTATAACATTAACTTTATCCAACTGAAGAATTCCTCTGAAATACAAAAATTAAAATCAAACATTTCCTCTGTCTATACTTTGGTAGGAAGATAGGGCTACTTCAAAGTTATAATTAAATTACACCTGGGATTAAGTGTGTGCGCTTCATTTTCTCTAGTTTATAATGGATGTACAAACTCTCTTAGTCCAAAGTTCACTTTAAGCAAACTTAATTGAGGGAATATAAAGGTCCAATACTTGGTACTCTAGGTCCTTACTTGGTACTCTAGGAAAGGAAGGGATAAGGTAAGTATAGATCTCCGAGACAGAATTAGAGATTTGCCAAACAGGGCAAAAAGACTAGGCCCAGCAAGTTTCTAACCAGTACTCACGAATGGAATGCAAATTTAGACCTTTAGACTACATTTCTCCTTTTGTGACTAAAGTCCCTGACAGAGAGCTTTTTATTGGATCCAAGACCCTGTATTGCCAATTCAATGTCATCCGAAACCAACAAGCTGTTTATAAAACAGAACAAGCTGACTGTAAAGTTCACAAGGGAGAAATTACAAGAATTGTTCTAATGGTATTAAAAAAAATAATAAAAAAACTGAGGAGAAGAGATAGTTGCCCAAACCAGCTACCAACGATTTTATTAAAACACTGCAATAATTAAAACCGTGCTACTGGCATAGGAACAAACAGATTAGTGGAAGAAGAGAGTGGAGAAGCAAGACAAGTAAGTTTTAAGAATATGCTTACGTGATTTTTAAGATAGGAAAGGTCTACTTAAGAAAATTAAAAATCCAAGGAGCCGTAAAAGAAAAATATGAATTGCTTTGACCACAAATTTAAAACTTTGTGTATCATATGGGATACTATAAACAAAAGACAAACTGTAGTCTTGAATAACTATATCTCTGCAATACATATTATGGATGTATAACAGACAAAGGTGCTACCACGTATTAATGATTATAAAAGTCCTCATACAGTTGAAAAATAGCAATGGCAGCATAAGGATTATAGTCAATTACATTGTAATAACTATGTATGGTGTAATAACTATGTTTGCATAATAAAAGTTAAAAGTGTCAGGTGAGTACTTGACTTACTGAGGGAGTAACCTTGTAAATTATATGAATGTCTAATCTAACAACTATGCTGTACACCTGAATCTAATGTAATATTGTATGTCAACCATAATTGACAAAATTTTTTTAAATAAAATCACAGTAAATGAAACTCAGTTTTTAATCATTAAAAATACTAATGTTTTAAAAGTAAAAAATACTTACTTATATTCACAAACTGGGAAAAGCACCTTTAAGATGGTTATTATCACAGCCGCTCCTATAATTCCAACCACCATGACGTTCAAAAACATAAAGAAGACTGGGAAAATACTGCTCCAGAACCTACACAGATCTTTTCTGAACTTTTCCATCCACTGACACATCACCTGAAAAAGGAGTTTTGATTATATTTCAACTCTAAGAAACTAAAAATTATGTTCTAGTTTTGGGGTGATAATATTCTCTATCTTGACTGTGGTAGTGGATACATGGATTTGATACTTGTCAAAACTTGTCTGTTCATTTTAACAGGTACATTTTATTTTAAAATGTACCTCAATAAAGTTATTTACAATTTTAAAAATTACAGCCTAACACAGGCACAGAAATATTACTGTCATTTACAATTATTTATACTGCTGTCTAACTATAAACCCAGTGAAAATAATTGCTAACCGACAAGAGGTTAGGCTTCCCCACTTTATACGAAATGGACCAGAGTCAACTATGTGTTCTCAATAGTTTGAAGACAAGAAAAGGAGAAGAAAAACGTAGTCTTAGCTCTTGGAACACAGGGAGTTAGTTCGCTGTGTATAAAAAACGTTTCTCTACTTAAAGAGAAGAAACTAGGGCAGCACTCATGGCCTGGGCTCTGAAGACAGTCTGTCCGTGGGCCGTTTTGCCCTGAGAGAAGTAGGGCAGGCAGGGTGAGGGTACAGGAGTTCAGGCAGCAAAACGAGACCTGGGTTTCCCCAGCAACCCCAAATCAGCAATCCAGTCTTCAGCGAGAACTTCCAAAAACCATCTCTGGGATCTTTTGGACTAACCACCAACCCTGCTCATTTAAGTGAAAATTATTTTGAGTAGAGGGCCTAGCTAATATATACGGAGATACCAGAATACTCTGTCTGAGTATTTCCCAGTTGGTAGTATAATGTCATTCATAATATGTGGGTACTAAGTAGGTGCCAATGCATATTTACATGTGTATCCATCTTTTTTATTAATCCTTACAGCAACTGAATGAAATGGGTACTTTACAGACTAAGCGGCTGTCTTATTGTATAAAGAGGCCAGGAACTGGTCCAAGGTCATGCAACTAGTAGTGGCAGAACCAGAATTCAAATAAGCAGTCTGGCTCCAGAAAGAACAGTCTTAACCAAGTGTGCCTGGTCATTGCACGAGATCCTGAGGGCACTGTGTACCACAGCGGGGGCACAATGAACAGACAAATGTGGATACAAGAAAGACTTAGGAACTGCAAATCCCATGCAAAATGAAATCAGTGCCTGATGATCATCTGACTGCATTATTACTAAATGAAACTTGAAAACAGGAATACCTAAAAATATCACATTAAAACAGTGGTGTGTTCATCATTAACAATGTCCCATGCTTCCAAACCACATGGTTTCTGCCTCATTTTAAATGCTAGTGTCTCTTTTCTTTACCATAACCATAAATGCCTGTAAAGATAATCCCAAACACTTGATTTACCTTATATGACGATGGAGGCTCTGCTCTAAGAGGAGTTTCAGGTAATTTACCAGGTAAAGCATCTTCGTCTACAGTGGTTTCCACGTTTCTGATAAGATACTGGCTGGTGGTCTGCAATGAACTAGCGCTTTCTACTGTGGAGAAAGAGCCAAGTTACCCAAATCAGCATTCTCTCCTACTAGTCCTAAGATTATTAGACCAGTAACAGAAGAGCAAGAACATAAATCTTTCTATGGGAGAAAAAAAATAAGCATATTTGATTATTCAGATTAAAATTGCCAGAAAGAAGCCATAAACTAAGACAGTTAAAAGGGACTATAGGCACTTACGAGTGTCACATAGAAAATCAAATTTTTAAAAGTTCTACATTTCATTGGAAAAAATGAATACTTCCTCCTCTAAATGATATTATTACATATTTTGTGATGATCACTGAGAGTAAGAGTAGATAATTACAGCAAAATGTCACTATGCAAGTAGCATTGATCACATTCTATTATGACTTAAAACAGATCCCTACAGTCCTCAAATGGACTTTAATACAGGCTATAAAGCATTCCTGAAAGAAGCTTATTCCAAACATATTAACTATGATTAAAAAGCACCAAATAAATAATTTTCTTAATGCATTAAATAATGGTCTTTTAAAGTACCTTTTTTAGAGAGGTTGGGAAGGGTAAATAAAACGTCATCATCTCGGGAAATGGAGTACAGCATGCTTTCTTCCAAAGGTAGGGTGTAGTTTGAATGCCTCAGTATTCCCTGGTTCTTAACTAATATATCAATTTCGGTAATATCCTTTTGTTGAGCCTATAAAAAAATAAGCAATTATTCTTTATTTTAAATAATGGTACAATGCCACAAGAATTTAAAAGTGAATTTTCCTCCCTGATTTCTGTAACTAAAAAACTTGCATTCACATAATTCCTCTTTATCGCTCCCTCCACTTTGAAGCATTTACTTTGTAACTTTAATCATATTCCTGTGCGCTGTAGCACTCACTACTACAAGTTTACTTAGTTCTATTTCATTTAGAGAGACTTAGCCAGAGAAAATGGTAGCAGAACTATGAACCAAATTCAATCTCTTCACTTACTTTCTCTGTTTAATGATGTTCAAAACATTTAAAAGCGACATAAACATGTATGAATATGATCATTTTTTTAAAAATTAAGACTTCAAATGCTAAATGAGTAAATGCTAAAACAAGTAAAAAAATTCTAAATGATTGGATTCAGGCAACATTAGGGTACCTTTCTTCCTTATGAAGTCAGAAATAAATAATAACTGAACATGTGTATAATACATAAGCACAAATCTTTACAATTTAATCCCTAATTAATAAGCATATTATTTTACCTGTTTTCCATCAATCTCTACTACCTCTTCTTGTATGACAATTAGTTGCAAACTGGAACCAGACGTCATAGGCCACTCGTGAACTAAAATTCTCACACTGACAATTCCAAAGTATTCTTTTTCCTCCAAATTTTCCAGATTTTCATTCTTCACTATAAAAAAAGTGACAGCTTTGAACAAAAAAATATGCTACCAAATCTACTGCTGAATTTGATTATTTTGATGACATCTACATAAAACAAGGCAGCTGTAACCCAATTTCTTAGGCTCCCTTCATCTCTGACTTCATTGATATTCCAGGTTTATGAAAATGAAGACGATGTGACAAATCATTACAGCGCTTATAGTCATCTGAAAAGGGAAAACTGCTTGATGCTCTTTAGATTTTGTTTGAAACACCACACTAGCAATGTCTTTCCTATTCTTTTACACAGATCATCAACGAGGAACCACCATGGCACTACTATTTACCAGGCAGCACAGAAGACACAGTCAATGCCATGTTTTAGCAAAGCAAGCACATTCATTCATCCATTCATTCATTCACAAAATCTAGCGATGGATGGGGCCCAAACAACAATGACACTGAGGTTTTTGCTCGGTCCTTTCACCTCTAAGTGACTTGTTACTGTTGGAGAGGGCAGGAATAGAAAAGAGCATGGGAAAGCCCTGTAATTACTCCCTACTAATGTATGATGGAATAGAATAGGCCATTTCCTCTGTAGCTAAGCAGCCCCCTTCCCAGTGGAGATGGTTTACAGAGCCCATGGCTATCCTACTAAGGTAGAAAGTACTACAGAAAAAGACAAATCAACAGATACCAGTGAAAAAGCTGTAAAAGGAGCATTTAGTTTTTGTCCCTCAAATGTTATCGTCTGAGGATTATTTGCCAAAAAGCAACCCAGATGGATATTCTGAATGCAGACCTAGTGTTTTAAACTTATTCTGTGCCTTTATAGGACTATTCCTTTTATCTGGAATGCTCTCTACTGCTTACTCTCCCCAACAATATTTTAAAAATAAACTCCAACTTAGGTAGACCTAGATACCCTTTCCCCACAATGCTGAGTTCAAGCCTTTTTCCTTTTTTTTTTTTTTTTTAACACTAACTTTCTTGCAGTAGTTCTTTAACCTGTCCCTTCGACTACGCTGAGTTCCTTGGAACTATGCACCAAGTTTATTGTTCTATATAGCTTTTGTTAAACAGTGATTCCATCTGGAATTATAAACACGTAATTTAAAATAAATATGCCCTCAAATTATCAGTAACGTTCAAACACCTGGTCTAATGGTTCTAAATTCTAACTATGCATCAGAAACAACTGGGCAAAAGTACAGATGCCAGAGCCTCACCTCAATCTTAATAAATCAAAATCTCCAGGAGGTAGAGACCAACTTTTGTAATTTTTCAAACAGGCATAGGCATTCCTACTGGGAACCAAGTGACCTAACTTTTTAGCTCAATTTAAGTCTTTACAAAACTGTTCCTCCTTGACTTCACTGTTTTTGTTGATAAATCTACTCTTCTTCAAACAACCAAGGACAAAAGTTACTAAGCTTCCTTTGACTGCTTCACCCTCATCCTTTGTATGCAGTCAGTTGCTTCCTTTGGACCATTCCAAATCCAAAGTATCTCAGATTTGTCCTTCCCATCTCCTACCTATCTTCTCACCCAATATTTAGTTTGTTAACTACCTACTAATATAAGAGTTACTCAACTATTCTCTCCTTCTTTAGTTCCTTCCCCTTCAAACCGTTCACACAATAGTGCCAGATTAATCCTGCTAGAATATATGTGATTATACAGCCTCCTTGCGCAAACACCTTCAGTGGCATTCCTATGACTTTTTTGGTAGTTCTCTGAATGGTCCTTCTTCAGGCTCCTCATGGTGGCACTTGTTGCTCCTCTCTCTAGTCTGCCTAACCTCCCTCATATCCTCCAAGGCTCATAACTGTACATACAACTTCCTCTTTCTCATGTTGCATCTCAGTGTTTTCATTGATTGTTAACCCATGGGTCTCTGTCAAGGAACAGTAGGCTCTTTGTCCGCCTATCTGCATGCCCCAAAGCTAGTGTGCTAGGGCACAAGAGAGTCAATGGATGAGAAAATTCAGTTATATAAATACATCAAAGCGGCGATTCTTCAACCCTCAAATCTGGTACCCCTGTTGTAGAATAAAATAAAATTAAAAACAAAAGCCCTTCATACTCTGACTTCCACCACTGTGGAAGGCAGCTTTCAAAAACGGCCCTCAGTGACCTCTGCCCTCTGGTATTCATGCCCTTTGCTAACTCTCTCCCACTAAATGTGGGCTGAACCTAGTGACACGTTTCAGACAATACAGCACAAGTGATGGAATGTCACTTCTATGATTAGATTGTAAAAGACTGACTTCTGTCTTGCCATATTCTCTTGCTTTCTTGCAGGTTAAGCCAGCTGCCATGTTGTGAGATGATGTACAGGGAGGTCTATAAGGCAAGAAAACAAGGGAGGCCTCTGGCCAACATCTTGTGAGGAACTCAGGCCTCAGTCCAAACAGTTCACAAGGAACTGAATCCTATCAACAACCACACTAACGAGCTAGGAAGTGGAACCTTCCCAGTTAAGTCTTAAGATGACTGTATCCTTTGAGAGAGCCAGAGTCAGAAGACCCAGCTGAGTCAAGCTCAAATTCTTAATCTGAAAAAACTATGAGATAATATTGTTTTAGGTTACTAGGTATGGAGTTAAACTATTATACAGAAATAAATAACTAATACATCCACCAAAGAACTTTTGTAAAAAGGTTTAAGGAAAGAAGACTTTTGTTATTGTTACATTTAATGTTTTGAAGATTCTTATAACTGCTAAGATGGGCTTTACTTCGGCTATCAAGGAAATGAACTCAATGCAACAAGTGGATGACTAGAAAGATGACTATAATAAATAGAGCAACCAGGCTATGTTCCACGTCAAATTCTTAATGAATTAATCAATGGAATTATTACTTAAACCAGTAATAGCATTTCTTTTCCTAGCTATGATGGGTTAGCTTGTAGTCACCAATATTCTCATTGAAAACCAACAGAAAAGATAGAAAATGATAAATATACACATATACACTCAAAATCCACATTTGTGTAGAGGCATAAGAATGTTAAAAAGACAGCCAGCACCCCACAAGGCATTTGCCAATTGCCAAGCTGAACTGGTAGAGAAGTTGGAAAGCTGAGTGGAAAGCACTAAGAGGCAAAAAACCTCAACAGAGCTTTTGGCAGTCTCATGCTACAGGAGCTAAAATGAAGTTCAAGGCTACAATGGTATCTGGGCATCTGACAATATCACAGAGAGAAGGGAAGCACAGAACTAAGCCAACATTCTATGCAGTTTTCCTCATTGAAATATCTGTTGATTACTAAGTGGGGCTGGGCTGAGAAACTGAGCATGCATCTAAGACATGACGAAGTCAGGCAGAACTCTGGCAGGTTCGTGGTGGCAGGGAGTCTGGGGCCCACTAAAGAGGAAAGGCCCTGGTAAACACCCTAAGTTTCCACTTGGGATCTGTGAAGGGCTACATGTGAGAAGTAACAGTGAATGAGACGTAGACGAGGCCTCACAAAGACAGGAATCCAGCCTTCAGTCAGCTCAATTCTTGATTTAGTAATTAAGGTGCTCGGCCTCTGATCATCATGACTGCCAAGGACTAAAGTAAATCCTCTTTGGAGGAAGATAATCATCCAGAGTCTTCATAATTTTTCACATGCGATATCAATAATGCCAATATACGGTAGGAAAAGGATCAAGAGAAAAAAGAAAAAAAAAATAAACCCAAAGGAGCTCAAGAAATCAGAGTGGGCAGACATAAACTTTAAAGGTACTGCAAATAACAGGTTCAAGAAAATAGATTATAAAATGGAGAACTTCATCAGATAACTGTAAGCTATAAAAAAAAAGAATGGGACCTAGAGGTTATTATGCTGAGTGAAATAAGTGAGACAGAGAAAGATAAATACCATATGATTTCATTTATTTCTGGAATCCGAAGGAACAAAAGAACAAACTAATCAAAAACAGACTCACAAATACAGTGCACAATTTGGTGAGGACACAGGGGAGGGGGGTTAGGGGACTGGGAGAATGGGGTGAAGGGTAAAAGAAGTACAAATTAGTAGTTGATAGCTGGTCATGGGGAGGGGGAGCAGGGCAGAGGGAAATGCAGTTATATGATGGCTAGGTGGAGGGCTAGGGGAGGGAGGGAGCAATTGGGAGGATCGTTTTATGAACTATATAGATGTCTAACCAATGTACTGTACACCTGAAACCAATTTATTTTTTTAATTCTTTTTTTATTAAGTTTATTGGGGTAACATTGGTTAATACAATTATACAATTTTCAGGTGTACATTATAATTTGACGTCTATATATTCTACTGTGTGATTACCACCCAAAGTCCACTTTCCTTCAGCTACCATATATTTGATCCCCTTTATCCACTTCACCCTCCTCCTACCCCACTGCTTGAAACTAATTTAAATAAATTAATTTTAAAAAAAGAACGAAAATCCTAGAAGTCCGATAAATGAAATTAACTCAATTGGATATAGCTGATGAATCTGTGTGCTGGAGGGACAGAAAGAAAAGAGTTAAAGATATATATGGAACCCTGTGAAAGGGTCAAGCACGTGTAAGTGAGAAGCAAGAAGGGAATAGAGAGGATGGAAAAGCAGCATTTGTTAAAAAGATAATCGCCCCAAACTGACAAAAGACATCAAGCCACATATTAAAGAACCCCATACCTGGGCACATCAGAGCAAAACCACTGAAAATCAAAGACAAAAAATCTTAAAAGCAACCAGAAAAAAAAAAAATTACATATTATCCTCAATAGAGCAATGACACACTGATTTTCAACATAAACTACAGAAATGAGAAGACAATTAGGCTTTGAAGTACTAACCTATGCTTCCATATCCAGTAAAAATATCCTCCTAAAAAGAAGGCAAAGTAAAGATGTTTTCAGACAAACAAAATCTCAGATAATTCATTACTAACAAATCTACACTAAAATATAGTAAGGGAAATGTTTTAGGCAAAGGGAAAAGGACCCCAGAGGGGAACACAGAGGCTCAGGAAGGAATGCAGAGCGATGGAAGGGTAAACATAAATGGATACTGATCTCAGAAAACAGTAGCAATAAGCAGGTTGCACAGGGTTTAAGAACACAGAGTTAAAATGCATGACGAGATAAAACAAGAAAGAGAATGTTCTGGGAAATGATAAAAGTACTGGTTTACTGATCTCAAGGGTAACCATTAAAAGAACAGTGAAATAACATAAAAACCATCAAGATAAAGGAGAATAATGAAAGAAATAAACCAGAAGAGGGCAAAAAGGAGAAGGAAAACAGAATAGGTGGAACACAAATAGAAAACAAATAATTAAGATGGAAGACTTAAATCCAAATATATCTGTTATTACACTAATGTAAATAAATTAAAATCCCAACTTAAAGATAGATTAACAGACTGAATTGAAAATAAAAACCCACGAGTACATGCTGCTAATAAGATTCACTTTAATCATAAAGACACAGAAATACTGAAAGAATATGGAAACACGTCACTCAACAATCTACCTCCCACCCATCGCCATCCAAAAAGCGGTTATTGCTAAATATAAATAAAGCTGATTTTAAGGTAAGAACATCACTAGATGAAGGACACATTAAAATGGTAAAAGAGTCAATTCACCAGGAAGAAAGACACAACAGTTCTAAATCCATCACTAAATGGGTTTACTAATATTGTACCAAAATAAACAGAGCAAAAATTGACAAAACGGAAAGAATAAATAAATCTGGATAGTGGAGATTTTAAAACATCAATCTCAGTTATTGACAGAGTAAGCAAACAAACAAGAAAATCAGTAATTCCATAGAAGATTGAAAAACATGATTAACAAATTTGACCTGACAAATATAGAACATCATATCCAAACTAATTATATAATTTGCTTTCTTTTAAAGTACACATGGGAAGCAACATTTACTAAAACTAACCATATGCTAACCCATAAAGCAAGTTTCTAATTTCAAAAGGTTAAAATTATACATATATCTTTGATGACAGTATATCTTTGATGACAGAGGTGCAATCAGTTAAAAAAGTCCCCAAATAGTTGGAAATTAAACAACATACTTCTAAGTAACCCACAGAACAAGAAATATCACAAAAAACAATTAGAAAACACTATGAACTAAATGATAATAAAATCTTATAACAAATCAAGTATAGGATACAAATGCTTAGAGAAAAATTTACTACCTTAAATGCACATATTAAAGTAGGTAATAAAAATACTATACATATTTCTCATATTCTTTATTTCATTCAAATAATATGGTACATTCCAACGTAACATATTTGCTCGTCTTCAAACAACTCAAGATTCTAAAAGGTTAAAAACATTATATAGGCCTAGGGATAGAAGAAACTGCAAACTAGAGAATCAGACAATTTGTTTTTCTTTTTTACAACTGTGACAAGCACTTCCCCAGGATTCTGCCTCTTGCTTATAAATCTCTACTACCTCTATGCACATTCTTACATTAATAACAACATACTAGAAATGCAATTCTATCAATGCCAATCTCATGCAAAAGAAAATGTGAATATGTCAGGAATGACTAATGAAAAGTAGAAAAGTTTTAGACACATCAGTAATGATGTATATTAACTTAAAATGGAAATAGATAACATTGAAGAACTGTTTTACTAATTTAGTACTGTTAAAAACAGAATAATTTAGTAGTACTCACCTATCAAAGTCTGACAGCTTATTCGGGTTACACCATTATTTACAGGGAAGTCATTTACATATACCTGTCCACTCTCATAGGTTATGTTAAGAACAACCTTAAAATAAAGCAGCATATACATTATGGTCTATAAATGACAACAAGCTCTTCATATTAAAAATACATTACCTAACTAAATTAGACATGTAGGTAAAAATAAAATAGGCTGCATAATACTAGCTAGGTAATATATTAAAAACAATCGAAGGAGACAAACCTGTTCTTTAGATACCTCCCCATCATCTTTCAGGGTAGTTACATTAACTCTAACGCTGTCCTGCAAAACAAATATATAAATTGGATGGCATGCATTTCACGAATTGAAAATTACTCGGTTCTTTTTTCCCCCCTCAATTATATTTATTGTATAATCACTTATGACAACATTAAAGGAATCTTTTAAATCCACCACTTTCATCTTACAGCCTTTTTTATGCACTTATTCGCAACTCCAATTTTTTAAAATCTATATTCTTTCCACTTAAGTATTCAATATATCACATATGAGCATGTAATATGCAAATGCAGAGTTAAAAGATTACCATTCATGTACCTACTACCTAGATTAAAAACTAAATATTATCCATACCTTAGAAGCCCCTTACATGACCCTCTCTCACATTTCTCTCCTTCTCCTCAGAAGGAATCCCAACACTGTCTTCTGAGCTCATCATTTCTTGCATTTCTTTAGTTTTACTACCTGTGTATCTCTCTCTAAATACGTTGTTTAATTTTTATCTGTTTCTAAGCTTTATATAAGTGGAATAATATTGTATGTATTCTTCTAGAGTTTCTTTTAAAATTGTCGATGCAGGCAGATTAGACATTTATTTACAGTGCTGCATAATATTCCATTGAATGATTATGAATTTACTTTGTTCCACTACCAATGGACGTCTGAATTGTTTCCAACTTTTGGTATTCATAAACAGAGTTGCTCTAACCCTTCTTAAACTGTCCCCTAGTGCCTGTGGACAAGTTTGTACAGTGCACAATTTTAGTCTCCCAAGATATGCTCAAAAGCGGTCTACTCCAATATTCACATTGTTATCCTAGAATAAAAACAATAGTCCTCTCAAATACTTTTTCCTTGGGGTATTCTTAACTTTGAAAATAGGAAAGTTATTCATAAACATCAAAATAATAGACAAACATATTTCTTAGTACTTGACTATCCTCGATACTTTATATATTTCCAAATGAGAGAATAAGACTGAAATAATTTTATGAGGTTGAGTTGATTTGGAAAAGTATTCTAACTTATAAGGTCCATACCATACATTTGGGCTGACTTCGGTACACTTCCCAACTCCCATAGGAGCCTGGGCAGCTTTTCGTCTAGTGGTTCCTCAGTACCTGCTCGGCTTTCTCCTAGCCCACCCAAATCTAGAATTAAGCTAGAACCAAAATATACTCACCTCTAGAACAAACCAACATTAACTAAGCCATTATGTTGGTCGCTATATTGTTTAGCGTAAAATTCCAGCCAAAATCTCCTCTTTTCAAACTAGAAGATCTGATAACCACAGACTACTGTTCTTCTAACAAAAGCTTCTGCCTTTCAGTAGCAAACATACACTATACTGTTAATAATTTACTGCACTCACATATATCATTTGCCTAGCAGAATACAGGGTTTGTAAAAGACAATTGACAGTAACATACTACATTTTTGCCAGAGAACCAAATTCAATTCTGTTTAGTCCTAATTTCATTTTAGAAAAGATTCTAATCCGTTACTACCTCCTGACCCGAAGTTGAGAACTAGGTCATATTTGGTACTCTTCCTGAGAACCCAACTAAACTGGAAGTTCAGGCTTATGAACCAGGGGGGTGTATACTTAGAAAGTGGGTGGTAGAACCGAAAATTTTCCCCATCCATTTTCAATTCTTTCTCTAATTCCTTCACACACAAGATGCCCACTGGGACACAATGGCTTCCTAAGGACCAAGGTAATAGATACCTAGTTTAAAATAAATAAATCTGAGAGAAATACATGAAATAAATATTAACACATATAAGAAAATAAGTGTCCTCTGGATGCCTCTCTCTGGTGACCAAGTATTTTAATACTAGAAGAATGTACTATAAAAATTTTTATTAATTTACAATTTGTGTAATCTCAACTTCTGACAACTGTATATGTAAACAAAATAGAAAAATGTCTATAATCCAGTAAATCTGAGTCATTGAGGGGAAAGGGGAAAAATTTTTCTGACTTCAACAAATTTTCTTATATTTAGATCAGGATGGGCACAAAAATGAAGATGAGCAGATATGTGATAAAGTAAGTACAGCAGAACCTTAATGGGTCGTCTAAGTTTGCACTATTCAATATGGTACTAAATTTATGTGGCTATTTCCATTTAAATTAAAATTAAATAAATAAAAAATTTTAAACTCAGATTCTCAGTTTCACTGGCCATATTTCTAATTCTCAATAACCACAGTAGTCCAGCAGCTACCATCACAGAAATGTCATATAGCATCACGGCACAAAGGCCTACTGGACAACACTTATCTAACACGAGTGACCACTGTAAAACTTTCAAATCTTTTGTACATTTGAAATTTTTCATAATAAAACACTGAAAAAGTTTAGGCAAACAGGCTTCAGCTTCCCATATAAACACTTCCAAGGAATAAGATTCTCCTTTTAGCTGCTCAGCATCCATTTAATCTCTGAAATTCTGAGTTTAGATCTGACCTTTCCAAAAGTGGAATGAAGGGGTAAGAGAGAACTAAAATGATGAACCTACTAAGAGCCCACAGTGCACTGTACTATTTGCTTGCAGTCAAAATGCATTTTTCTTAGATTACAGAGACAGACTCAAAGGTCTTTTGGGTTCACAAGTGACTATAATGAATCTTTAAAATTTGGAAAAGGGGGAAAATGCCTTATTTGAACTTTAGGATTTCATTTTTATTTGAAATAAAATAGGTTCCTAGGGGATGCTGGTGCAGCTGGTCCCACCACACTCTTGTTTTTGACCAGTTACAACTGTGGTCTGCATATAATTTCAGATGTAAGTGGTTCCTAGCTTGCACTGTGGCTTCTTGGAATGCTCCAGCAGAACCAAAACTGAGATATCCTTGTGATTTCTGTCCCCAGGGAGAATGCCATAACGTTAAAAAATTAAAAATAAAAAAGTGACATTTATAGTGTCAGTCATCCCTGAATTTAGAGTACGGTATTCAAGTCTTGACTAGGAAGAAAAGGTGTACCTATGTTGTTTTTTTCACTCTGGGAAAACTCGCATTTTAAAATCTTTAAACCTTTTAAAAAAATCAACTGATGAAAGGCAAATACAAGTTTAGGTCAGCACGATTCCATGGCAAAAACGGCAAGAACCAGCCACCCTTTTAGTACAGGGATGCAGTGGTTCTCAAATTTTAGCCGCCCTCAGCCTAGAGGGCTTGCTACCAGATTAGATTGCTGGGTCCCATCCCCAGGCGTCAGACTAGTGCGTTCTACTAGGTTCCTAGGGGATGCTGGTGCAGCTGGTCCCACCACACTCCTGCAAGAGCTACTTCTCTAACATCACCTGCCAAAGTCCCGACGTCAGGCTAAGTGCTGGGTCTTCATCTTTCCTTCCGCGGCCCCATCGGCCCAGCATGCACCCCGGAGTCCTGCACCCTGGGGAAGGCGATCCTTGCCGCTGCCGGCCGGAGTCAACAGTGGCCTGGAAATGATCTCGCGCTTTCTCTCAATGAGCAACTTCCAGATTGCACAAGCACATAAACTGTCTTGCCCAGTGTCCAGCTCTACCCGAGGGAGGAGCCATTGCAAAGGCCGAAATCACTTGAAATTGCGTATTTGCGACGGGCAAGATCCCGTGAGGATGGCAACAGTTTGGACTGCGGTAAGAATCTCTTAAATTTCGCGGCATGAGGTTTAACCACACATTAAAGAGCCTCTTTCTCTCTCTCGCTACCCACTCCCACGCCGCCCCCATTTCCTTGAGTGCTTTTCCCCACTCCTCGTTTGGGGGCCCGGACCCCTGCCCAGGGCCTGCCGGTCGGAGGTGAAATACGGCGATGCAGACGCCGCGGTCCCGCGGTCCCACGGCCCCGGTCTCCCGGTGGACCCGCACGGAGGAGCGGCCGAGCAGCGCCCCCCCTGCCCTACCTTCGGGGCTCGAGGTGGCGGTGGCGGCTCAAAGGTGCCTGTCTTCAGCCAGCCGGTGGCCGGCAGCGCCGCAAGCAAGAAGAGCCGGAGGGCGAGCGGCGCCACCGGAGCGCCCTCCATCTTGGACTGGCCGGCGGCGGTGCGGGGAGGACCTGCCGGACCCGGAGGGTGGACCCAAGGCCCGGCGGAGGCGCTCGGGGGGCGGGGCCAGAGGGGCGGGGGCAAGGGCGAGGTGGGCCGCGGGAGGCTGCGAGGGCAGCGGCGGCCCGCGGCTCCGGGAATAGCGGACCGCGCACGCGCGCCGCTGCGCGAACTCGAGGGGCGGAGTCACGTCAAAGAAGGTCCGATTTCGTGATTACGCTCGCAGTCTGGGTCGGGATGTCTCCACGTAAACGAGTATGTGTTTTCTCGTTGCCATTAAAGTCAGTATTTAGTAGGTATGCACACAGCTATAGCTCTGTGTGTATATGTACTTACCTATAACTATGAAATGAAAATAATGGTATGATATCAGAACACTATGATACATTATAAATATCACATTTAGAGGGGAAATTTTATTAAATCGGTGGTTTTCACCCCAGACTTACATGGGAAGTGCCTGGGAAGTTTTAAAACTTACTGACTCGGGTTTTCCGGGGCACCAAGTTCCTGAATTAATTAGCCTGGGCTGCTGATCCGGCATTGGTAGTTTTTAAAAGTTCCCCAAGTGATTTATTGTGCCAAGGTTGAGAGTCAACATTAAATGTTCAGCATTCAGCGGATCACTAGAGGCGACGTGGGAATAACACTCAACTAGAAGCCGGTCCACCTGGGCTCTTGGGGCCTATGCAGTCAGTTTCTTATCTACAAAATGAAGATGATGGACTCCAGTCCCCCCGGCTTCAGATTAAAAAATAAATAAATAAATCCTTTCTAAATTAGAGAATGCCAAGATATTCAGGCATTTCAGATTAACCAGATTGCATATGATTGAGAATTGGAGACGTTGCAATTCAGGCAGAATAAGAAACATTTAGTTTAGTTTTTTTTATTAATAAAACTTTTGACATGAAAAGTAACACAAATCTGTTTCTCTTTTAGCCCTTTCTTTCACTTTTATCAACTCCTCTCCCCATGCCTGCTTTTTAAGATAGAGTAAACAACAAAATCTTTGTCCCAAATCTTTGTATGGTAAACTACAAAATCCTTCAACTAACTCCTTGCCTACTGTAATATACCCAACATAAACTTGAAGCGCCACCCACTCTCAAGTTCCAGCTGCAACCACTGGCCTTTTCAGTCTGTTTCAAACTGTATTAAGAATGAACCTAAAGGTCAGAACATAACATATGTGGATATGTATAATTTGAACTAGTGATATTTGTATAAGGTTCCAAACTACATTTAAATAAAAAAGTAGTTGAAGAAGGTACGGTAGTCTGTATTTCCCAAGAGAGTTCTCTCCATAATCTATTATTCTTTCACTTGTCTGTCTCCTTGGCTAACTCTGAGCTCTGGGAAGGCAGTGGCCAAAGGTTAAAGTATGAAGTCTGCTAGAGCATAGGTTTGTTGGATAAATAATGTCTAAGTAGTTGATTTTATTTTATAATGAACAATTTTCCTATTATGTATGACATAGTTCACTTTAGGCCACCATTTTGCTATATGAACGCATGAGTACCATGGAATTTCTTGTTAAAATGTCCCATTATTTGAAACAAACACTTTATCTACTACAACTCTGATGAGTTGTAACAAAACTTTAAACAATCCTTGGTGTAGGGTTCCACTTGTCATCTATTGGAAGACTCAGCCTTGATATACTCAGCCTTCACATTAATCTGTAAACCAAAAACAGTACTAAGTTGGAAAATTTATCATTATTAATATGGTATGAGCTGATGTTCTTTTGAGTGGACTCATGTCAACTTGATTTCTTTAATCACGAAACCCATCCAAGAGTTTAGTTTGCTTATAGAAATCCAGTGTATTTCTGTGTAGATTAGATGCTTTATGTTTTTTGAAGATAGTCTTTCATATAGCAGAAGATTCTTAAACAATTTATAATACTATAGAAAACAAAGTATGTAAGATGAACAAAAAATACACCTTTATTTTCAAATAGTATTGTGACTCCAAACTTTGATAATTTTCCTTTTTTTAGCAACTGATTTCATTGTTATTTTCATCATTCTCACAATCAAAACTTGAATTCCTATTTTTCTACAATTCGAAAGCAGACTTGACACCAAAGGGAGATGTGAAACATAATCTATGTTTCCAATTTCCGGGAGAAAGCAAGTCACTGCACATATATCACAGTCTACTCCATTATTTTCCAGAATTACTCAACTACATTTTTTTTTTGAATTTCCAGAAGACTCCTAGGAGATGACAGAGAGCAAGAAAGAGATCCCTTTTACATTTCCAAAGCCATTCACAATTTTTACCTTATTTTTCTTCTAAGATATTTTAAAACTGCTTTTACTGTACCCATTTTCTCTGTATATTTAGAAATAAATTTCATTATACCTGCGATGATGAGTGATGCTTCCGTTATGAAGAACAACTAACTCATACAAATATCACTGTAGCAGCCAGCATTTATTGTGTTATGTGTAAATGCTTTATGTATATTATTTCAACCTCACAGCAACCTAATGACATGTTATAATTTACAATCCCATCTTTTATATAAAAAATAAGAGATTTATAGAGATTAAGATTTTTGCCTTGAGTTACAGGACAGTGATGGAGCCATGGTTTTTAACCCTGGCATTCTAAATTAACACATTCTATTGGTCCATAATAAAGCCTCCCCCGCCAAAAGCAAAAGTCATAATTTAGTTTGTTTGCATACAGAATATTACAAAACATTCCATTCATTGATTTTCTAAAGACATGGGCTGGGGGTTGAGATAAATGGAGAAACAGAAAAGTGTAGGAGGTCTTTGCCTGCTTCTTCATGGCAACTGGAACCAGGGGATCCCCAGGACCAAGAGGCAGTTCCTGTCCCTGCTCCCCCTGCTAACTGGTCCCAGCAACCTGAAAGCTGAAAGCGTGAAGAGACATCCGTACCCAAAGATGTTAAAAAGCATACTGTAAATTACTGCCTGAGGAAAATGCAATAAAAATAACATGTTAATAATTATTATGTAAATGAGATAACTACCAGAATTTAGGAAATTGTCAGGAACTGTGAAAGGTCTAAGATTTTGCCCTACTTTCAAACTAAGTTAGCTCGCCTGTTTCATGGATGCTAGTGGGAGATATGAGACGCATATCACAAAGAATTTATCACAGTATAGCGAGCTGCATGAATACCAGCATATTTGCATCAGTTCCATAGTCGATATGAAGTTATTGGAGGTTTTAAGAATGTAAAAAATGGTAATAAAGGAGAGCGATTAGCTTGGCCAGGAGAGTTTGGAGAATAAGCTCTGCATGGAAACGCTCAACAGAGGCCAAAAGTAGTTTGTAAGTATTCTAAGCTAAAGAGTAGAGATTTGGGACTGACACCTATGTTTTTCAGCTTGTCGCACTAAGGACCCACCATCTGCTGCTGTAATAGGTATAGTCTCTCCCCCAGGCATGATTCTCCAGGAAAGAACTCCCTGTTAACCATCTTTCTGGCTAGCAAATTGTATGTATAAAGTCTAAAGTTTTTGATTCAGGGCGACAAGATGACACCGATTAGGAAATCCCGAGTAGTTGTCCCACCAAAAACACAGGAGAATGTGGCGCCGCGATCGCCCTCCGGCTACCACGGAGGCGGCCTGAGGAGCAGAAAAGGGTCGTTCTTGAAATGGACATAAATGAGGCACAAAATCCTTTTCAGAGGCCGTTCTGAGAGACGGGCTTCTGCGCCAGCCTCCAAGGGTGTACCAGGATTTTCAAAAGGTCCGCACCGGGGGCGGAACTCACTCGCACCGCACAGCACCAACCCGGCGAGCCGGACCGGGCGGCCCCGAAGGGGGCGGTGTCGCTCGAGGGATGACGTAATAAGACGTCGCGCCGTGGGTGACGCGTGGCGTGGACGAGGACAGATTGCGCCTACCACCCCGCGGGCTTGTTGCGGAGGAGGAACGGGCGCCATGGCAGTTTTGCTGGAGACCACTCTGGGCGACGTAGTCATCGACTTGTATACCGAGGAGCGGCCGCGCGGTGAGGCCCGACCCTGCCACGTCTCGCCGGGGAGGCGATCTCCTTTCCCCGCTGCCCGTTCGCCGCCCAGTCTCCAGCGTCGGTTGAGGGTGCCCGCGACAGGGCTCTTATTAGCGGGTGTTGGTTAGAAAAGTTTTTGTGAGGAGCAGCCCTTCTGCTGTATTTGGTGCTGGCCAACCGGGTGGCGGGTGCTTGTGGTCTTTAAATGCCAATGTGTGTGTGTGTGTGTGTCTGTCTCTGTGCGCGCGCGTGTGTGAGTGTGTGTGATAGAGACAGAAAGAGATGTATTTATGCATGCTGCAATTCCCATAAAGCTTTAGTGGCTTTACTGCACTTTACTGGTGAGTGGAACAACCAGTATTCCTTGGTGTGTAACCAGTACAGTCTGATGTAAGCAGGGAGGACGTGCTTGGGTCACTGAGTGTGGGCATCTCGCTTGGATGGAGGACGTGTGCACAGAGCCTTAGCAGGCACTCATTGATCGCCTACTGTGCTAGACTCTGTGCCAACCCCTGGGATAGGCGCCTTTCTCTTGGGGGTCGGGGGGGGGAGTGTCTACTTTTCCTTTGGGGTTAAAATCGACGCCGAAACCTATTTAACTTTTGCAAGTGTTGTAGTAGAACAGTGTGGAAGTTGCTATGGAAACCGGAGGAGGGAGTAATTCTTCCTGTTTGGGGGCAGGGAGAAGCGGATCAAGCAAAGAATGCAGAACACTTGAACTAGTTCTTTCAAAGATGAGTGGACATGAGGGTTTTCTTTAAGTGTGCTTGGAATTTTCTGGAAACAGCAAGTAGTTTGGCGTGGCTTGGAATGGCAGACTGTGAGTCTCCTCTATGTGAATAGTCTTGTGTGCTCTACTGATAACCAAAATCTTTGGAGGTTTTAAGAGCAGGACTGAGGCTTGGCAAACTTGTTTTAGAATGTATCAGAGGAGGGAGAAGCGGATGGGCCGGGAAAGATTATTAGTTAGAATCAGAGTCCTGCTCCCATGGAATGCAGACTCTTCAAAGAAAATGAAACAAGCCAAATACCGTACAATGAGTGCCTCCTGGCACACTCAGCTATTTCCCCTACGACTACGTATTCAGCTAAACATCCATGCCTTTCTCATACCGTTGCCTCTATCCCACATTTCTCTCCATTCCTGTACTTTTGGCAGACTTCCTGCTTATTTTTCAGATCTCAGGTCAAGCGTGATCTCTACTGTGAAGCTGTCTGATGTCCCTAGATTGAGTTAGATCTGTTTCTTCTACTCTGTCTCAGGTTTTTATGAATCACACAAATATTTTGTTATAAACTTTAGCTGTTGTCCTAGAATTATTTGCAGAATTCGTCTTTCTAGAAATTCGTCTTTCTAGAAAATAAATTCCAAGAGAGCAGGGACCGTGCCTTAATTATCTCTATATCCTGAGCATCAAGTGCAATGCCTGACACATTGAGAAGAGACACTGAAGGTTCATTATATTGACTAAGGCATGTATATATGTGTTAGGACTCTGTGCAGGTGATAGAAACTGGCTGAAAGAATGTAATTGATTACCTCATGTTACTGGGATAAGCTTAGCTTTAAGGATGGCATGGTCCAGTGGTTCACAGGATGTTATAAGAAATTATATTTTTCATCTTTTGGTTTTGCTTTCCTTTGAGTTTGTTTGCAGCTCTTTACATGGAGCAACACCTGGCAAGTGAGTGGGCCTCTTTGGCCAGAGCTGTGAGGAACTAAAGGGGAGATAGGGTTAGCCTGCCTAATTAACACAGAATGGACAAGCATTGGTTCTGCAAAGGTAGCTTGGAACACTAAAAACATAAGCCTACCCTGTTTGTATGTATTTGTAAAATAAAGACATGTTTACTATGAATTGATAAGTAGTTACATGTATAACTACTTATCAATCCATAGTAAACATGTCTTTATTTTCCTTCCTCCTTCCCTCCCTCTCTCCCTTCCTTTTAAAAAAAATTTTTTTATTACAGAAAATTCAACACATACAGAAGTAGAATCATGTACATGAACTCTTACGTGCTGATGACCAGCTTCATTTAACAGTTGTCAATACATAACCACTATTGTTTTATTTATACCTTCACTTCCACTGGATTTTTTGTAATAAATCGTTTTAATGGGACTTACTTAATTTGTAATTACTTCTATTTGTATCTTAAAAGAAACTTTAAAAAAAGACATCACACAAATCATTATCACATCTGAAAAAATTAGCAATAATTCCTTAGTATCATTCATATTTTTCCTATTGTCTCATAAACATTTTTAAAAATTTGGTAATTTAAATTAGGATCCAAACAAGGGCCATATAGTATTATATTGATTGCTATATCTCTTAAATATCTTTTAATCTATAGGTTCTCCCCCTCCCTTTTTCTTAAAATTAAGACTACTTTTTTAGAGCAATTTAAGATTTATGGCAAAACTGAGGAAGTCACAGAGATTTCCCATATGCCCCCTACCCCACACATGTTCATCCCCCCATCGTCAGTATTGCCCACTAGAGTGTTACATCTCTTGTGCATTTATTTGTACCATATAACATTGTACATGTTGTATATTCTCTACTCTCTGCCAGTCCAGTTCTTTTAATGCTCAGCTTAAACCTTTACAAGGTCTTCTGATTTCAACAGCCAGAAACAATCTCTTTTGAACCCCTGTGGCACTTTTTAACCCATGTTTTACCATTTTACTATTTAAGTAGCATAAATGCTATTATCAGATATGCCCAGTATTGCAGCTATTTGTGCTCAGGTGTAAAGGACCCTAGTTTGGTGTAAGCTCCTTGAGGGCAGAGACTGCCTTGTATATATTTCTCTCTTGTTTCTAGTTTAGTGCCTTAAGAATTTATTAGCATGTGTCTCCCTGTTGAGGTCAGGAACTACAGTTTAATATCATTCATGACAGCATTTATAAGTACCTAGAGGATAATGTTTATTGGATAAGCAAGTGCATTTACATGAGAAAGCTGGTACAAGTGTATGAGTTTTTGTGAAGGGCTATTCACTGTAAAAAAAGAATTGGTCCCAGATACTTGATTTTTCTCTAATTTATATAATCTGTACCCATTTTCAGATACTCTCCTAGGTCCTTTCTCATTATGGTATCTTCTTTAATTTTCTTTTTTTCTCTTACAAAGTTAATCCATCACTAAATGATTGCTTATCCCAGATAAGTGTGTTTTCTGCATTAGCTCAGATGCCCAAGAAATCCTAAGAAAAAAAGAATAAAAAGATAATTTAAACTATGTTGCCTTTTTCTAGGCTTACTGCCTTTTTTTGTGGCTTTGGACATTTGACTATTTTAGGGAGATTTTATATGGTAATTTGGAAATTTATACTAACTGTGTTTTTAATTGCTTAAAAATATATTTGTGAGTTACTGTGATAAATCTATTATTTAATTCTTTCAGCCTGCTTGAATTTCCTGAAGTTGTGCAAAATAAAATATTACAATTATTGCCTTATTCACAATGTACAGGTGAGTTGGTGGATATTAGTCATGTCCTTTGTTATTGGAACTATCTAGCAAACTGAATTAACAAAGTATCCTATATATTATAGAGGGATTTTATCATACAAACTGGCGATCCTACAGGGACTGGCCGTGGAGGAGAGTCTGTTTTTGGGTAAGTTCTTTTATTTTTAAATGAGTAAAAATAGAATTACCTGTTAACAGTGTTAACCAGCATATTTCAATCTTCTTTTTAACTTCGGGTCAAATATAGATTTTTTTTCCAAGTTCTCTAAATATCTATAATAAAAGAGAGGAATATTTTGGATCATATTGGCATTTCTCTAAAGAAACAGTAACCCTATATGTTATTTCTTCTGTATTTCATGTTGAGTGTACTTATATTTTATAACTTTATTTTATGTATTTTCAGTCAACTGTATGGTGATCAAGCAAGCTTTTTCGAGGCAGAAAAAGTGCCAAGGATTAAGCACAAGAAAAAAGGCACTGTATCCATGGTAAACAATGGCAGTGATCAGCATGGATCTCAGGTTAGAAATGGGTGAGAAGATGAGTTTTGCTTTAAGATGAAGACTGGAAGGATCCCACAAAGTTATCTTTTAAGATCATCCAGTAAGGAGAAAATTCCAATCAAAGATACTTATTAGAAGAAAAAAATATACTCTTTTTTCTGTATAACAAAAATTACATGATATCACGAAAAAAATTAAAATAAATTTTGTTCTTTTAAATGTAAGGCATGTCCATTGTGAGGAATTTTGAAAACACTGAAAAATACAAGGAACAAAATAACATTACCCCCATCCCACCTTTCACGGATCATTACTGCTCGCATCTGTGGCCCGTTTCCTTCCAGTATTTATTACTTATTTCAAAACAGGTCATGTTGAGCACTTTTCATTCAGAGTCTTGTTTAATGCTCACTGCCACCCCATTCGGGGGGTGTGTCTGAGCCTTGGTGTGTCCATTTAAACAATTAGGAGAACATCCGTATGAGTGTTGAAATTTTATGTATAAGCTTTGTACTTTTCACTTAGTCCTAGTAACAAGTGGGTAAGAATTCAATCCATGCAGTTAATGTAGAGTCTTACTTTTGTGTATTTTTTGTCAGTCTGTAATTGATTTCAGTTTGAATTAAATATATATTTATATTTATTCTGTGTCTTTCTTTATAGTTTCTTATTACTACAGGAGATAATCTAGATTATCTTGATGGTGTCCATACAGTGTTTGGTGAGGTGACAGAAGGCATGGACATAATTAAGAAAATTAATGAGACCTTTGTTGACAAGGATTTTGTGCCATATCAAGATATCAGGTGTGGTTACAATTTACTATTTGAATGTACTAAAATATTTTACTACTGTGATGTTTGAAATGTAGTGATGATGACATGCATAAGACTAATTTTTGGATAATTCCAAAATGTGAATTAATACAAGACTATAAAAATCTTTATAATAAAAAAAATCTTTTATATTTTTACACTTATACTAATTATTCCTCTCAACATAATGGCTTATGTTGAGAGGAATTATTAATCCTTTAGTTTTTTTAAATGCAGATCATTAAGAAATATGGCAAAAGTACTAAGATTTAGAAATTTATATTCTCGAGCAATGCAGAGAAATATATCAAACAATGAAAGACAGTAACACTGATTGTGAAAGTATACTCTAATATCCTTCTGCAATAAAATTTAATAGCTTATGGATATTTGGCCTTAGAGATACATAGACATTTTTCATAATCTTTATAAAAAGTAAGGCATAGATTTTGAAATAATGTATTTCTAATATTTGACTTGGATTTATTTTGTAAGGATCAATCATACAGTGATTTTAGATGATCCATTTGATGACCCTCCTGATTTATTAATTCCTGATCGATCACCAGAACCTACAAGGGAACAGCTAGATGTAAGTCAAGTCTTCTTTTGATTCAACGTACGTGCACATTAATACTTTGCATAGATCTTGCTTTTTAGCCTATTAAAACTTATTTCTTCAGAACGATTATCTTGCTTTATCCGTTATACTAGGATAAGTTTAGAGCTCTTTCTCTTTTCTGTGGTGGCACTCATTTTTCTAGCTATCTTTATTTCCCGAATATCTTTTCTTCAGTTTCTCTTCCACCAGAAGAGCCTTAGCTCTGGAAGTATATATAAACACTTTGGGAAAATGTTTTTCTTATCTCCTAACTCTAAATAAAACCATCATCTTTTAAGGGAATTTCTCAGAGGGATACTTGAGCCAGGCTAGAACCCAGAAATTTCTGTGGACTAAAGCAGACTTTTCCTCAGATATTTTAAGGTATAAATTTCTGCTTATGAGACTTCTTAAAGCTAAATTTATCTTTATAATTGGATTTGGTGCTTAATTTCTAAGATCATTTATCTTCTGCATTCAGCACTTAGTTGGATACCAAATAGTTTCTATATAAATGTTTGTTTTGATTTCACAATAAGACTAGTCTGGCTAATATTATCAAATTAATTTAAACCAATTTTCCAAGGTTTATAAAATTTACACTTGTGAAACAAGTGAGATGGTTCTATTCCAACACATTTGATGCAACTAAGAATAAAGTGGAATATTTCCCATGTTTCTCAGATTTTTCTGTTCTTTTTATATGTGAGTAACTTCTGCCTTACAGAGTGGTCGAATAGGAGCAGACGAAGAAATTGATGATTTCAAAGGAAGATCAGCTGAAGAAGTAGAAGAAATAAAGGCAGAAAAAGAGGCCAAAACTCAAGCTATTCTATTAGAAATGGTAAGATAATTATCTTTATTCAACGAGTTGTTCAGCAATATATTTAATACATACTGTTTATTTCTGGCTTTTTGATGGTCTTAACATAAAAACGTAGCTAAGTGTTTTTTTCTGAATTAAATTTTGTATGACATAATAAAATTTATGAAAGTAAACAAATTTGATTCCACTATTAATATAGTGCCAAGTGTCTTTTTTAAAAATGGGAAGTGGATATTCAACTTATAAATATTAAATGGATTTCAATTGTTATACTCATCTCATTTTTAAAGAGTGTTTCTTGAACTGAGTTTTATGTATATTAATGAATAAATTCTTTGTACAACTCAAGTATTGAGATTAAATAGTTGAATAGTAGTTACAGGATGAAATAAACGTGGGCAGACATTGAGCACTCTAAAACATACTCCTTCTCTGTATTAGAAAAAGTATGACCTACTGGGCATTTTTCCTATTCTTATTTTTGTAGACTAACTATACCTTTTACATAGATCATCGATAAATATTTGAATGGATAGATAATTAAATTTTTTTATCATTTTATATAGTAGAGTTTTCAGATTCATAGTCTGTTTTTAAATTCATATTAGCTACTCAGCCATAAAAAATGAAATCTTACTATTTGCAACAACATGGATAGACGTAGAGAGTATTATGCTAAGTGAATTAAGTCAGACAGAAAGACAAATACCATATTATTTCATTTATATGTGGAACCCAAAGAACAAAATAAACTAACAAAACAGAAACAGACTCAGACACAGAGACCAAATGGGTGGTTGCAGGGGGAGGTAGGTGAGTGAAAAAGGCAAAGGAATTAAGAAGTACAAATTGGTAGTTGTAAAATAGAATGGGGATGTGAAGTACAGCATAGGAAATATAGTCACTAATATTATAAAAACTATGTGTAGTGCCAGGTGGGTACTAGACTAATCGGGGGATCACTTTGTAAATTATATAAACGTCTAGCCACTATTCTGTACACCTGAAACTAATATAAAATAATATTGAATGCCAACTCTTATTGAAAAAAAGATAAATCATATATGCATCACCAGTCTGAAGGAATAAATACTAAAGACTATAATTCAGGAATACTTTACTGAATTAAAAAAAAGTGAAAGTACATACTTTAATGAGCACCATATGCATCTGAGAATATTGACCCAGAACAATCAACAACAAATTACTAGACTTAAAAGATAAATCCTTTGAGCAATGGGGTAACAAGAGTGACATAAAAAGGAAGGAACATTAGATTATCATCAGTCTTCAACAGGAGAAATACAGGAAGTTTATGGCAGAAGAATATGGGGTAACATTTTTAAAATTTTTTATTTTCAGATAATTTCAAATTTATGGAAAAATTACCGAAAAACAGTGCAGAGAACTTCTATATATCTTTTACCCAGACTCACCAATTTTTAACATTTTTGCCTCATCTTGATCATTTCTCTCTCATCTTCCCCTCTCTTCATCTCTACTTCTCCCTCTCTCTCTGTCTCTGATTATATATGCAGAGACACGTTATTTCTTCTGGACCATTTGAAATTAAATAGAAGCATATTCCTCTTTCTTTATCTGTTACATCAGCATGTAAGAGCAACAGCACTATCCTACATATTCGTGGTACAGTTATTAAAATCAAGAAATTTAAAATTAATAGAAATTACAGTTTATAATCCAATTTTATCAGTTATGTTGGTAATATCCTTTGTAGCTTTATTTCCCCTCCAGTTGGGATCCAACTTTCTAACCTTGTCAAAACCAGAAAGGGGATGCATATCTTTGTGTTTAATTCACACATTCTTTCAGCATATGTGCACTGGGCACCTATTATCGCCAAGCATTCTAGGAGCTTGGGATACATCAGTGAAAAAAACAAAGATTTTATCTTTGTGGAATTTATATATTAGTATATAAAACATTATTGTTAACTAAAATCCATAATTTACATATGGATTCACTCTTTGTTATACATTCTGTGGATTTTGACAAATGCTGTGTATCCACCAGTACAGTATTATACAGAATAGTTTCATGTCCCTCAAATCTGTGTTTCACTTATTCATCCCTACCTGTCCCCAATACTTGTTTTTTACAGTCTGCATAGTTTTGCCTTTTTCAAAATGTCGTGTAGTTGGAATCAGGCACTATGTAGCCTTGCAGACTGGCTTCTTTTCACTTAGCAATATGCATTTAGGGTTCCTCCATGTCTTTTTGTGACTTGATAGCTCACTTCTTTTTATCCCTTTTTATCATTTGGGTAAATACCGAGAACAATTGTTTGATCATATGGTACAGGTATGTTTATAAGAAACTGCTATACAATCTTCCAAAGTGGCTGTACCATTTTATATTTCCACTAGTGATGAATTAGAGCTCCTGTTGCTCCACATCCTCTCCAGCATTTGGTGTTGTCAGTGTTTTGAATTTTAACCATTCTAATAGGTGTAGTATCTCGTCGTTTTAATTTGCACT